GGAGGGTGAGAGGATTCACCAGAGACAGAGTGGGGAGCAGAATAGGCAGATGAAGTACACTGCTGAGGGGAGCAGCGGGCAGGTCAGGAGAGGTCTACTGTGCCATGTGGATCTCCTTGGGGCAGGCAGGGATCGAACTCATGCAGAATGGCTTAAGCTTCTTAGTGCAGTGCTTTAACCTGCTGCACCACCAGGGAGGGCCCTAAGTGTCATTTTTAAGGAAGAAGCATATTTAATGTACACTTGGTAAATTTTAGCCTGATCAGATTAAATCTACTTGTTTCAATACTCTAAGTAGATGTGATAAAAAAATTTTTTTTAAAGATTTATTTATTTATTTATTTGTGCATACAGAACTGGGGTACAGGCCAGAGGCTCAGGGGCGGTGAGAGGCTTCACCAGAGACAGAGTGGGGAGCAGAACAGGCAGATTGACGAAGTACACTGCTGAGGGAAGCAGCGGGTGGGTCAGGAGAGGTCTGGCTCGCCATGTGGTCTCCTCCGGGGCAGGCGGCAGGCGGGAATCGAACTCATGCGGAAGTGGCTTCAGATTCTCACTGCTGTGCTTTAACCCGCTGCGCCACCAGGGAGGGCCAGATGTGATAAAATTTTTAATAAAAGCAAATGATTTAAAATGAAAGGAGACTGCCACCTTTCCTTCTATTAATTACATAAATTAGCTATATAAGAATATGTGGATCTTACCACAATGATTTGTAAGCTATGACTTAAAAATTAATCTCTACTGTAGCCTTAGTATTTTTTTCTTTTTTTTTTTTAAAGATGAAAGAACTCATCTTTTTAAGTAGCCTGCCCAAGGTCAGAGAGGTGGCCAATGGTAGCAATGGGACTGAAACCCAGGCCCATCAAATGTGGGTATACGCTACCCAACCATATACATTTATTTGTGATGATCACTGTCTATACCATATAAGTAATCACCTTGTATTGTAGCTTACACAATTCTCCATATCTCAATTTATTATCCTTTAAGAGAATGAAGCATACTGCACACAGTCCAGGATAACTCACAGAATAGTTAATGGCTGGCAGAAAAACTTCTATCCTTATTAGTAATCAAATTCAAATTCATATAACCATCAAAATTCAAATTTTTATAACCACCAAATTATCAAGGATAATTATTCCATAAACATGCATAGGTTACTGACATTTGTAGAAATGGACACAACTTCTTTATATCTACCTAGTACTTCTACTACTAGAAAACATCTCATGCAATAATCCAAAATGAATTTTTTTGCATGTGTTTATAACAGAATTATGCTATATAGCAGAAAATAAGCAGCCTAGACATTCAATCACCAGGAAATAGTTAAACTACAGAACAGTTACCAGGCTAAATAATATATACAACCACCTCAATTATTTTTTTCAAAAGAAAAGCATTTATTGAAATACTAAGTTGAAAACAAAAGCAAACCAAAGAATATAAAAATTCACAAAGAAGCATTAAAAACACTAACAGAAGTAGCTTTTGAGCTTTTGCGAATAGGACTATAGAAAGACTGGACAAAATAATGTAAGGAGCAGAATATGGATGGCCACGCTTTCCCAAGGCAAAGAATTACTATCCTATAACTGAATATGATCATAATAGCCAGATTATCTCTAAGGTTCAACTCTAAAATACTAAATTTTAAAATTGCATTTTAATTCACATTAGAATTGAAGAACAACAGTCTAGTCAGAACCTAATTGATGGCAGAGGTAACAGATTCCCTCCTGCCTTCTTGTGAAAGGAGAAAGTAGCACCAAGTAGCAGTCTAAATTATAACTATTGCCTATCAAGTCACAGAATTTTTTTTTTTTAAAAGCAAGGACAGTAAGAAAAACACTTAGTCATCAAATTTTGAACATAGAATCACTTAGCTATCCCTAGTTATTGTGGAAAGGAGACTCAACAATCCTTGAGAAATGAAATCTCCAACAGGAATCCCTGACTCATCCCTAAAGCATGTACCTAAGGTTACTTGCCCTGTACAGGAGTTCAGAGACTGGGCACCTGCTTGCTAGCCTGCATCACCCAACAATGCTCTTTCCTGACAGGATATGCCTAGGGACAGCAAGATGACTAGCATGCAAACAAGAAGTGGCCAGGACTCACACCAGCTCTTCTTTACCAATTTAAATAAGAACATAAAGACTACTTGTAAACATTTTAAGTAAACATTTAACTTCTATTTTGCTATAGCATAGTTAAAAAGGAGATTCCATACAACTATGGTAAATGACACCATTTAAAGATAGCCAACACGAAATTCTCAACAGTAGGAAGGGAATGACTTCCTTACCCTTATCAGATGAAGAATTAAATTAAAATAAATATATAATCTAAATACCAAGTGAAAATGTTTCAAGTAAGGCATAAATTATTTGATCTACATTTTCTCCATCTTCAAAAGATACTAACAAAACCTTACACCTATCCTTATCACAAAGCTCAACAACACTATCAGAATTAACCTTACTGTTAAGGTTAATGTTCTATTTTTATAAACTGTTAATTTTGATGTTAAAACTTTACTAGATTTAAATGTGAAAAAGTATTCCAGTACTAAAAGTCAACTCACCTACACCTTGTAAACAATTTGTACTTTGAAACAAAACTAACCAATGCTCGCAGCCCATTCATTTTTCTATGTTAACTGTGTATCCTTTTCACTGCCCAGAATCTCAGACTATAATGATTATTCTTGAAGGTGTACCATTCTCGGGTGCAAAAATTTCCCTTCCTTATTTCCCATTTCCCAACTCCGCAAAAGCTAAAGAGCAACCACTTCCCAAAGTCCGACTTCCTTTTCCATTCCCCAGACCTCCAGGGTTTCCAACGCCCCAGCCTTGCGCAATATCCGTAGGAGCAGCCGCTGCAACCACCGCCTCCTAAGCCGGGAAACAACCCTAAAGGGGACATTGTCCAGTAGAAAAATAAAGGGTGGGGGGGCAATGTAGGAAGTCGACTTCTGGTCCCACGCCTTCGGACCTGACCCTCTCACATAATAATGTATCTAGAGCAATTTTCCGAACAAGACTTTTAACCTCCTCTCCAGTCAGCCTGCACAGGCAGAGGGCGGAAGGGGGGGTGGGGAGGCCTGGAAGGTTATCTCCTAGTTCAGGGCTTCGGCCCATATCATCGCCTCCGCCCCACCACGACTATTGTTCCCATGTTCCCCACCCCCACCCCGGATAGGAAGTGATAGTCACATCCCCTCCGCCTTCGGCAATATTCCCTAGGGAGTCCTAAAGAGGTTCCGTTCTTGATCACCACCCCCTCCACACATACTCTCACTGAAGCCCCCCCCAACCCAACCTGAAGTCACGTTGACCCCAACACCACATCAAACCTAGGTCTCAGAAGAGAAGAGACAGGTCGGAGGGAAATGGTAATTTGGCAAACCACAAGATTCCTCAGGGGGAATCCTTTCCCAAAGACTGGGAATAATTTCGAAGCTAGAAACTGCAGACGTCCTACCCTGTCCACTTCTGCGACCAGCCAGAGCTAAGGGACCCCACGAGTTAATGCCAACCTTGGCACTCCCGTTGTCAGCCGCGATTCGCTCTCTTCCCGGGGTAGACATCCTGCCTCGACCCTCCCAGAAGGGATGGAGATGTGAGGAGACACGAGCCCCCTCCGGCCTGCACTTCACATGCCTCCAGCTCCGGGCCCAAGAAACAATAGGTGGTCACGGGCGGCGGTGCTGGGTGCGGGCTCGGCGCACAGCCGCTCCCAGGGCGTCCCGAGCGCCCGCAGAGGGGGCCGCGAACGCCGGAGGAGGCGAAAGGAGGCCGGGGGGCGGAGGCGGTCTCAGCTCCCACCGGCCTCCGAGACTGCCGGCCTCCGAGACCACTGGCCTCCAGGCTGGGGTGCGCCCCTCCGCCCCTCGGCTCACCGCCGCACACAAAGCGCTGGCGGCCGGGGCCGACCGAGCCTGGCGGCTGTGGGCTCCGGTGCGACGAGAGGAGGCGACAGCGAGTGGAGGGACTCACCATGAAGTCCCGGGCGAAGTTGTCCTCCCCATTGTGATCAGGACTCTTCATGGCCTGGACCCTCTGGATGAATTTCCTCAGGATTTCCACTTGCTCCATCCTCCCGCGTCCCCCAGGCTGCGGTCGCTGGCCCCCCCGCCGCCGCCCGCCTGCCCGGCGCAGAGCCCGCTCCGTCTTCCCCAGCTCGCTCACCCAGCCCGTCCCCTCCCTCCCGACCCCCGCCAACCCCGCGGCTCCCGGCTCCTCCCCACCGCTCAAGGCGGCGGCCGCGACAGCACCCGACCCGCTCCCGACACTCCAACTTCCAGGGGCAGCCGCCGTTCTACCGTACGAGGCGAGCCGCTGCGGCTAACGCCAACCCCAGCCCCAGCCCTCAGCTTGCCCCATCCTCCTTCCCCGCCCTCTCTACGGTCAGAGACGCAGCCACCGCCTCAGGAACAAGGCTCTCTGCTAGCCCTGCCCCCCCTTCCCGGTTCCTCCTAGCCCCCCCTTTCCACCAGCAGCCTGGGGCCGCCTCTCCCCACGGGCGCGCCCCTGCCGCCACCCAGACGCGCGGCCCCGAGCTGTGGCTCCGCCCTAAAAGTTACGCCGCGCCGATCCGCCCCCGCTCGTCACGCCCCCGGGCCACGCCCCCATGGCCCGATCCGCGGGGCCCAGCCCCACCGTCAGTGGCTAGAAGGCGATTCGGCCACAGACTAGGCTACTTGACTCCATTTCCGGGGCGTGGTCCGCGGTGGGCAGCGTGTCGGGCTGAGGGCAGAGGGAGGAGGGAATTGGGCTCTGAGCTGAAGAAACGCGCCGTAGGACTTCAGTTGAAACTTGAAGGCACCCTGCTTACTAGGACCTCCCTGCTAGGGAGGGAAAGAGCTTCCGCGCCGTCCCTAGTCGTGGGCTGGTACTACAAGTCCCGGCCGGCTGGAGTCCAGGAGCGGGGGCGGGAGAGGGCTGTTGGGGAGAGAGGCATGCTGGGAACTGTAGTAGCGGCTTCTCCACTGTCACAGCAAGTGTGTCTTCGTCTTACTCATGGCTCATTGAGTGTTGACGGCAATTAGACCTTGACGTGTCTGAGAATGACTACGACCAAGAAAACGAAATGCTTCTTGAGTGAAAGGACATTTGCTTTTTGCGAACCCGTCTAAACCCTGGCAAGTGAGCTCCTGAGTGCGCCCTAATACATAAGCGTTAGGGGTTGGGGGAGGGAATTTAGTATTTGGTGGATGAGAAAGAATTTTTTTTTTAAGATTTATTTGTTTAGGCATTCAAGAACTGGGATGTAGACCAGAGGTGCAGGGGGCTAAGGGTTCACCGGAGACAGAGTTGGGATTAGAACAAGCAGATCGACTGAAATACACTGCTGACGGGAGCAGTGGTGAGACTGGCGAGGGTTATCTCCCCGGCTGGGGATTAACTCTGTCTCAGTGGGTGCTGCTGGCTTCTTTGTGCTGAGACTTAATCCCCCTTGTGCCATCAGGGAGGTCCTGGGAAGGAATTTTTCTTGTTATCTTGGCAACACTTAAGAGATGAATGAAAAAGACATTCTATCATAGGATGGACGAACTCACTAATTTTACAAAGTGTAATTTGCCCCAGCATTTTCTTAGTAAAGCCAAAACTAGAAATTAAAACCTTTAAGTCATTATAACATCGTATTGTCTCTCACTGAGGAATGTAGGCTTGTGATAAAATGATAGAAGTGAAGGATTTGATCAGTGGACTTATTTTGGTCACTTTTACCCATGCACAATATTCATTTACAGATCAGGTTGGTCAGGGAATGTGGTTTAGACAGAAGTATCAGCAGTAGGCACCCTTCTGAATGAATATTTGCAAGAACCATGGGATTTAATGATAAACTCTTCAAATAAAATAACATTATTAACAAAATACATGTTATTTACTCTTTAACAATATCTCTATTTAATACGACTAATGTATACCAATCCAATCCTCTCCTCAGAAATAGGCACTTCAGATGTGACCTTCACAAGGCTCTTCTTTGCATTTATATACAGGTATGTGCATGTAAAAAGATAAACTATTATTTAGCATTTTAAAAATTCATTTGGAGGAATACCTTAATTTCCAATAGCTTAATTTCCAATAGCTTGTTTGAAACACAGGTCTGGAATATTTTACATGAACCAGATACTTAGATTCAAGTTCATTGCATGTGTGAAAGGGTTAAATTCTGAACTTGATAACCTGCCAATATAACTCACTGAAGAGACCACTTTTTTCTCATACCTGGGAGTGAAATTAGACTGTAGTCCAAGGAATGGACTTTTGATATGTCTAAGAATATCCAAACCAGATGGCAATTAACAAAGGCTATGTACTAGACAAATTGTTTAATAGTCTAGTGATAATCTGGTGGGAAATGTTGCTTGTTTGAACTATTGATCCCATTTTGACTAGTTTTGTGACAGTGATCTTTTTCTTTAGTCTTTTATTGATGAACTTCTTTTTCTTTCTTGCAACTCTTGAATTTTTGAGTTCTTAGCTACCTTTGGCATCTGATGTTACAGATTTCAGCTGTTTTGGAAAGGTTTAGCAGTGCTTTCTTCTTTATAATATTTAGTTTTCAGGTCATGTTTCAATCTACAGATTTTTTTGAGCATACCACAAATTTAAAAGGATTGTGTATACGTGTGTGTGAAGAATATACAAATATGTATAAGGATAGCTTAGTTCAGAAGACAGAAAAAAAGTTTTAGTTAAGTTAGTAATTGTCAAAAAGTAATACAGAAAATGAATGCATGGTACCATTTTGAGAAGAAAAAATTGAACCAAATTGTCAGAATATGAGATGGTCAAGATGGACCATTGAGTAGAAATAAAATTAAGTTTAAACAGGAGGAACAATTCCTAGACAGGGGAAATGAGCATGAAGTTGAAAGCATGAAAGTGACAAATCAAAAGTTTGGAGCAGAACTTTTGTATATGTGTCAAAGATTCTGAGTAGACTGGAGTTGCACTGGAGTGCATAAGAAGGCCTGGGTAAGGATTTGAGCTATCTATTGTTGGTGTAGGAGCCACCAAACGTGTTTTTGAGTATAGCATCACAATTAGGAAAAATTAATCTTGTACTTTATGGAATGAAAGTTGGTTAATGGAAATAAGAAATGAGAAATACTGGAAGCCAGTATATGAAGCATCAAAAACTGACACAAAGCTCGTATTACAATTATAAGGTATAGATGGAGAGGAATCTGAAGGAACTCATAGAATTAGGTGACTAACTGATTTACAGGGCAAGAAAAAAAGGTAGAATTAAAAATGACTGAAGTCTCGGCCCTCCCCGGTGGTGCAGCGGGTTAAAGCACTGCACTGAGAAGCTAAAGCCACTTCCGCATGAGTTCGATGCCCGCCTGCCCCGGAGGAGACCACATAGTATGGCAGACCTCTCCTGACCCGCCCACTGCTCCCCTCAGCAGTGTACTTCGTTGATCTGCCTGTTCTGCTCCCCACTCTGTCTCTGGTGAATCCTCTCACCCTCTGCATCTCTGGCCTGTACCCCAGTTCTATATGAATAAATAAATAAATCTTTAAAAAAAAAAAATGACTGAAGTCTCCACATTGGAAGAGGTCAGGATATAGTCAGTTGGACACTTTCACACATAGATGGTGAGAGATAAAATAGGAACATCATGCATGCTATGATAGAAAATGTACAGATGTATTTATAGCCAGGTACAAACATATTTTCTTATTACTGTCTTACTTAGGAACAATGCACCTGTGTATCAGAAAGTATTAAGCAACAATATCATATACATATATCAATCTATAATTCCATTAAAAAATGAAAAAAGTTATATGTTGATATAAAATAGGCCCCATGCTCTATTTATTAAATGGAAGAAGGTGGCCAGACATTATGTTTATGGCATTCTTCCATTTATGAAAAATTAGAATGTGGATAAAATGCTTGAACATAACAGATTTTCTGGAGGATGCTTCAAAAACTTAGCTGTTATTGCCTTTAGGACCTTGAGAATTTTTTTTAACATTTTTAAAAAATAATATAATAGTTTATTTTTACATCGTTTTGTGCCTTTTCCCATTTCAGTTGTAATCCCGTGGGCTTCCCATCACTGAATCAACTATGTGCCATCACCATAGTCCAGTGCATGTCCTTCCCCCCACTGTTTTTGATCCCATTCCCCACTCCATCCCCATAAAATGTCCCTGGTATATAGCTGTTCATCATTATTATTATTTTCAGGGCCTTGAGAATTTTTAACAAACAACTTCCAGTGTGTATACTTTTTATGGTAAAATACTTAACTATTTTACATGTTCAAGTATTACTTTTCCAATAAATATATTTAATAAAAAACTTCTTAACTTTCATTCTAGGTGGAAGGAAGAATAGCAGTAACTTTCATTCTAGGTGGTAGGGAGAATAGCAGACAGTTTTAAAAAAAAAAGGGGAAGCAAATCTTGTTTGAGAAACTGAAAAATAGCACGTGACAGGGTAGGTTTCAGAATGCTTCCCTACCTATACCCAATTCTTGAGGAACCTGACTGTTTTGCCTGTCCTCAGCCACACCCAAGGGTCTGGGCACTTGACCCAAGTTAACCAATCCATGTAGTCTGGCCAGTGACCCATGGCCTGGTGTAGAAACATCTGGACCAATCAGTTCTCACTGTTAGGAATCTGAACCTAGGAACCTAGAGGGAAAAAGTCATTAAATGGCAAGGACAGAAACTGAATGTCATAGGGTAGAACTAGGGATTTGGCACACTGAGTTCTCATGAAACAGTAGAAAATATAAAGAAAAGCAAGAAAGGATCATTAAGCCCACATGCAGAGAGATTTAGAGAAGTCAGGCTTTAACCCATGCGACCATGGGATTGCTGAAGAAGAGCCCCGGAGCAATTTATGACTTTTCCATAGCCTTTTGGATAGATTTGTTGACTTTTGTTCCATAAATAAAATGTGCTGTACTTGAAACAGACTGAGGAAATGATAAAAAAAAACATGGGCTCTCAAAAACCTGCTCTATTTCTTACTCAAGCAAATAATTTAGCTTCATTAAGCCTAAGTTTCCACAGAGGGAAGCTGTCCTGTAGTATCTCAGTGTGCTTTCTGTGTTTCAGAATTAGTTTACTGTTCATCACAAAATAAGAATGGGTTAAAGATAGAATTAATGATTTTTGTACCTTTTACTCTTTTTTTTTTTTTAACCTCATATATCTTTTTTAGGCTCTTTTCCTGTTCACTACCTTCTCTCTGGGTAATACATGATGAATGAGAAGAAAGCCAGATACCATTTTTAAAACTCTCTTCTGCTCTTAATACTTACGGGAAAGTTTAAAAAAAATAATCCAAAAGAAGTTTCGGGATTAGCTGCCTGGTTTCATATTCACAGTATCCCTTTCCCCCTATCTAGGTTAAAGTAATGCTTTAAAATAATGCTTTAAATCTGTAGAGAAAGAGTATTTACAGCTTTTCTCTCTTAAGAGCTACCTTTGTTATGCATTTCATAGCATTATATAGCCCTGTTTCTCTCTTTTTTTAACAGGTTTGGAATTACTGTTCTCACTAATAGATGAAAACTAAATAAAACATAGGAGTGAACATGACTAGTTCACTTGTAAAAACAAATGTCAGACGCATGGCCAGAACCCACAGGTCCTGAGTTTCCAGCTTGTTGCATAAACCACTGAGTCACAACACTTTTATACCTGTTGTAATTTAAGTAAAACTTCAGATGAAGATGCAACCATTCCTGAGATTCTCCTAAAGTAGCACTTCTAAAAATAAGCTCTCATTTCATCCTACATCCCTCAGCCCAGTCTACTCTCAAATTAATGGATTCATAGCTAAGAAATTACTGGAGAGTGAATAAGACAGAAGGGAGGGAAATTCTTTTCTAGTTCACTCCTGGTATCCCTTACTCCCTCATTCCTAGACCTAGTCAAAGCAAAAAAGCTGTTAAACATTTTTTAATTTGTGTTTATTGTTGAAACATGTCTTCTAATAGACAAGGAACTAGGGGGGAAAGGAGCGTAGTTTTTTAGTTTAGAAGAGCATAAGATTTTTTGAAAAAAAGACAAAAATGGAGAGACATTTAGAAAGAATAAGATGCTTTAGACCTAGTATATAATTCTGCATCACCATATTTTAGAGCTTTTCACATAATACACCATTTATTCTAATTACTGTACCCTAAAGTAGATGGGCCAGGTATTACTATCCCTATCTTTGTGTATGCTTTAGAATACCAGTGGGGATAATAATCCCTAAACTTGGAGAAATTAAATGATTTGCCCAAGATCATACAGAACTGGAACCAAAACTCAGGTGACTCTCCACTGAATGAAAACTTCAAAATGTTACACAACAAAAGCTAACTAGTATAATAATAAATGCTAACTGCAGGAGAATGTAGTAATTAAATCCACCCTCTTCTCTAACTTTTCCATCTCATTTTTTATGCTGTTTCATTTCATATTCAGAGAAAAATTAAAATTTTATAAATAACTTCAAAGTCAAGTAGTACCTAAGCATGTAATTAGTGATCCTTCAACTTAATGGCAATTACGTGCTGTATTCAGAACTGGATTATTAGCAAGGGCTGTGAAATAATACGTCATAAAAAATCCCTCTACTATATTGATTGAGCTCAGATCAAACAATCAATAAAAACTATAACCAAAACAAGTCAGAAATCCTTTTATTGAGAGATAAAAAATAAATTGCGATTCCACTTAAATGTAGTATCTGAAGTATTAGAAGTCAGAAACAGAAAATAGAATTATGAGTACCAGGGCCTGCAGGGCAGCAGAAAAGGAGAGTTTGTTAGTGGGTATAGCATTTCGATTTGCAAGATGGGGAAGTTTTGGAGATCTGATTCACAACAATGCAAATATACTTAACATTGCTGAACTATATATTTAAAAATGGCTAAGAAGGCAGACTTTGTGCTTTGTGTTTTTTATCATTTTATGACTACATCAGTTGTGTTCCTTGGAATGAAAAAAGTATTGGAGATGGGTAGTGGTAAATGTTGTACAACAGTGTGTATGGATTTAATATGTCACTGAACTTACTTTTCTTGGCTTTTATGATTTTTTAATTATCTATAAATTTCCTTTTAATATGCTCTTCTAGTTCTTATTTATATTTTTCTTAAATTTTATTAATTTGTCAGTAATTTACATAATTATATTTTTTGGGGGTACATTTTCACACTGCCATGTATCACATGCTTCACTCATCCTCCACCAAAATTCCTATGCTGATATACTGTCCCCTCCCCCTAAATGAGCCTTCTCATTCTGCCCTTCCTCTTTGACAACCAGTGTATTGCATTCAGTATCTGTCTTTTATTCTCATGACTTGTTTCACTTAGCATAATCACCTCAAGATGCATCCATTTTGTCCCCCACAACATACTTTTATTTTTTTTTTAACAGTTGAGTAGTATTCCATTGAATATATACTCCACAATTTCTTCACTCAGTTTTCTCTTTGGAACCTTAGGTTGGTTTCTGCCCTTGGCTATTGTGAATAATGTTGCTGTAAACACGGTGTGCATAGATCGTTTTGTATCAATTTTCATATTCTTTGTGTAAAATAGCATGGTATTGCTGTATAATATGTTTTCACTTTTATTTTGTTAAGGTATCTCCACATGGTTTTCTATAGAGGCTGTATCAATTTAATTTACATTCCCATCAACTGTGTATGAGCTAGCATATGTTTATTCCATTCTTTTTAAGATGCACCATTTTCATCCAGTGAGGTGATAATCTCATTGTGGTCATGATATACATTTCCCTTATTAGAAGTGATGTTGAACATTTTTTCATGTGTCTGTAGGCCATCTGAATGTATTCTTTGGAAACGTATCTCTTTAAGTCTTTCTTATGCCCATTTTTGAATTGAGTTATTTATCGTTGAGTTGTAGGAGTTATTTATGTATTTTGGAAATTAGCCATTCATCAGATGTGTGATGTACACATATCTTTGCCAGTTCATAGGTTGCCTTATTGCTTTTGCCTTATGGTTTGTGGTTTCTTTTTGAGTTTTAAAAACTTTTTAATATTTGTAATGCTATCTGTTTATTTTTGCCTTTGTTTCCCTTGCCATACAGGTTGTATCCCCAAATATATCTCTGTGGCTAATGTCCAAGAATGTGTCACTTATATTTTCTTTAAGTATTTTTTGTTTTCAGGTCTTATGTGCAAATCTTTAATCTATTTGGAATTAATTTCTGTGTGTGGCATTAAGTAAAGATCTAGTTTCTTTCTTTTTCTTTTTTCCTTTGGGTGTAGCTAAGCTCCCCTGCACCATTTCTTAGAGGCTTTCTTT